CACAGTCCTCTGGATTTGGCCTCCTTCCCTGTCCTGTTCCACAACCCCCCCCCCACTCATCTGTGAAGCCAGCTCCTCCTGTTGCTCCTCCAGCCCCACCTCACAGCCCCCAGTGCCCTCCAGTGTCAGCCCAGCACCCCCAGGCTAGTGACCTGTGATCAGACTTGGATTCCCCCCCTGCCCACCCCTTCCCCACCCCCATCTTCCCAGCTCCTGGTTGTCTCTGGGCCTCATTCCTCTTGGTTAGCTTCTTGAGCCTCTGTAGAGCTCAGTGGAGGTGTGGACACCCGTCCCTGAGGTCAGCTCACCGACGGCTGGCTTTAGCCCCAGGAGCTTCAGACAGGTACCCTGTGTCCACGTGCCAGTGCCCCAGCTGTAGCTGTGGGCAAACAGCACTGGCTGGGGACCAGGGTGCCAGGCGTAGGCTTGCCTTTGCCCAGGGCCAGGCTGGTGTCAGGGGAGCAGGCTCAGGGTCGTAAACAAGGCCTCAGCTGTTGGGTTGGGAGGCTGGAATTCCAGGCAGCTCCAAGAATCAGAGACTGGGCACTACGCCTGCCTCAGGGAAGGGAGGACAGGCGCACCGTCTGGCCCAAAACAAGGGGTGCGGCTACACGGAAGGGGTGCGGTGGGGAGCCAGACCCTCCTCACCACCCTGGCCCTGTTCTGCTGCGTGTGGGGAGGAAGAAGAGCAGCAGCAGTGCCCTGAGCCTGAAGGCCCAGAAACCACAGCGTCCAGTCTCTCCCCACCCCCAGCCGCCTCGTGCCAGCAGGCCCACCCGGGACCCTTCCCAGGCCAGACAGGTCCCGGGAGACAAGCTGCTGAAAATAGGCCCTGGGAACTTGTGAGTGTCCTGCACCAGGCCGGGGAGGGGCTGGACGTGGGAGGCCAGAGCTGTGTCTGGCGGGGCTCAGCTTGTTTTCCTGCCGGAAGCACGTGGCCCTGGGTGCAGGGTGTGAGGCAGGGGTGCCTCACACCGTACACACCTGCAGTGAGGGACCAGATGCGGCGCCCGCCCGGTGAGCACAGCTCTGCCAAACTTGGAGGAGGGAGGAGGCCCCTTATCAAGTCCTATGGGGCTGGGAGGGGGTGGAGATTCCACAGAGGTCAGTGGCCCGCAGACCGCTGCATGCGATCTCTGGCTGGCTTCCAGTGCTATGTGCTGGCCAGCTGAGGGTACTGGGCATCTGAATAAAGAAGACTGGGTGAGCAGAGGAGGACCAGAGCATCAGTTCCCAAAGTCCACCGTATTCTCATGTCATCTCAGTATGAAGGCACCCGAGCAGGCAGCGGGGGGCTGTGCCGTTCTGCACACCATTCTGCCTGTTGTGTGCTCCTGCTATTGCAGAGTGGGGTTGCTGGGGCCTCCAGCTGGCCTGGGGTCCTTGTCCTGTTGGCCTGCTAGGGGTCCCTCCCAGGGGCAGCCTGGGAAGGAGGGGCCAGGCAGGCTGGCAGGAGCCCGGCCCTTGCACCTGGGTGGAACTGAGGCCCTGGGAAGGGGGCAGCAACTGGTGCCACTTAAGCCTCTGCCAGGATTGGGGGTGAGGCCAGTGGTCTGGACACAGGCTGGGTGCAGTAAGGAAGAAGGGACTGGGGACTGGAGGGGTACCACAGACAGTGAGGGACGCCTCCTCCCAGACTGGGTGATCAGCCTATTTGTGAGGTTTGGGAAGGTTCTAGCAATGTGTCTGTGATCATGTGTGTGCATATCTATGTGTCTGTCTTTCGGTATGTCTGTACTCTTTCTCTTTGAGATAGGGCCTGGTCCTGAACTCACGATCTTCCTGCTTTGCCCTCCTGACAGCTAGGGAGCCAGGTGTGCACTGCTGATCACCACCCAGAGGAGCCACCATGCCCCCTTCTCCTCCCCCGGGGACCAGGGCAACAGGACATAACAGCAGGGACGGCAGGAAGGGCTCATCTTGGGTTTGCCAGGAGGGCTCCCTGGGCTGGGGGAGGGGGTTGGATTCACATTGCGAGAAGGCGCTATCTCTGGGGTTGAGGTTGGGTAATGGAAGAGGAGGAAGAGGACTAAGTCCCTGCTCCGGGTGGCTAGGAAAATGTCCCCAGCTCAGAGCTGAGAAGGTTCTGCACATACCCTGGGGCGGTGTGGAGTTGGAAGGAAATGTGCCCAGCAGTGTGCTTAGAGACCTCACAGACTCTGGGGACACGGGCAAGAGGTATGGCCGCAGGCTCAGGACACCTGCGTCCAGACACCCAGGCCCCGCCCCCTGAGCACGTGGTCACGGTGGAGCCCAGGCAGCCTGCCGGGCGCCTCCAGGCCTGCACCCAGCCACACCCTGGCAGGCCGGTGGGTGTGCTGCCTGTGTGGCCAGGCTGCAAGGATCTGCCGTCACAGAGCCTCCAGCACCCCCCCTTGTCACCAGAGCTTCCTCCATTCTGAAGCCTCTACTAGGCTTTCCTGCCCTGGCCAGGCCCCTGCAGCTGCCTCCTTTCTGGCCTCCAGCCTGTGGGCTTTGGAGGACTCAGGAGCCCCTGAGGGATGGGGAGGGAGGTGGGGGAAGGGCTGCCCCTGCTGGGTGCAGGCTCCCCAGGGTGGAGACTGAGGGGTTCACCTTTTTCTGTTTTTGTCGGTCGTGGGGCCTGAACTCTGGGCCTGGGCGCCGTCCCTCAGCTCTTCAGCTCAAGGCTAGTGCTCTACCACTTGAGCCACAGTGCCACTTCTGGCTTTTTCTGCTCATGTGGTACTGAGGAATCGAACCCAGGGCCTCATGCGTGCGTGGCAAGCGCTCTGCCCTGAGCCACCTTCCCAGCCCTGGAGTTCACCTTTGCAGGCCTGTGTGTGTGCACACCAGTGAGAGGCCTCAGGCTGAGCCCCAGGCAGGGGCAGAGCTGTGGCCTGGGGGGAGGCCCGGGCAGGGCGGTGCCAGGGTGCTGGGAGGGCCCGGATGCTCTCAGCGTTGCACCTGTGGAATTCCTGAAACCCAGGCTTTTGCTCCAGACTTACCCCGAGTCCCAGACGGGCATGTGGAGATGGAAGTGCCCGCTGCCCCCTCCACCCCGCTCCGTTCCAGGATTCGGCCCGCGATGGTGGGCAGGAGGGCTTCAGAGAGAGAGGCGCTGGGCCCCGGGGTGGGGGCTCCGCCTGGACCGGCCCGAGGGTTCGTCTTGGGTTTGGGATGGGTGTGTGTGTGTGGTGGGGGGGACAGGGATGCGGTGCGGGGCCCTCCGGAGGCTGGGCCAGCAGAGGGCGGGGCGCCCCCCG